TTTTTAACGATACAATAGCGACGATTATTATTTTAAAAAAATTTTGTTAGGCTTAACATCAATGAAAATTCAATGCGAAGTAGGTTAATAGCAATATACTAATTACATGGGATATACTAATATACTATACTAATAATGTATTTTTTCATACTTTTCGGTTATCCATTTTTTCAGTTATCTGACCAACCCCAGTCCCCAATTGAGTCGGATAATCGATGCTCTACTGTACATATTTTGAGATATAGAGATTCCTACACAGTAAATAGGAATAGGTTTGATTGGAAGTATGGTATTTTATTAATACAATAGCATGTACAGTATATTCCTGTATTAGGTCTTAATAAAAGATTTTTGACATATCTTAACAGAAATAATTTGTCAATAGTTTCTGATGCCTGGCTTTCTTCAAGCCAAACCTCATAGCAAATCAGATAAAAGCATCATTAGTTGCACCTATATATTGTATTGTAGTTGAAATGTTTCTCAACTACAATTTATGCTATGAAAATATAATAGCTGAGCTTTAAATTTGTAATTGACACTTCAGACCATAATTTGAGATATGGAGGTTTTGGGAGAAAATTATTTGAGATAAAATATGAAAAATATATTGAGTTTAGGCTGAAAATGCAGAGAGAAAACTAAATTTGAAGATAAACATGTTTGACATAGACAGGTTTAACTGTAATTGATAAAAGATTTTTTTAGATTATTTATATCTCATGTCAGTATTCAAACAACTACATTAAACATACATCCAAACTAGAGTTCCAATTCTGCATCTTTTTTTGAAAACATTTCAAACAACCCTTCAAACATTGTAATGAATCTACTTCATTGAATTTACAGAATGTTTTTTAAAAAGTCCACAAGCACTACTTTCACAAGCCTTCAGATTTTTAAGATTTGAAATTTTAAAATTTTTTTCAAATCTTAAAAATCTTTTAAAAACTTTTTTGCATTCCTATATTCACAGACTGTAATTAAAAAAAATTATGCAAAAGTACTTAATCTCCAAAATTAATATGTATAATCAGATAGGACCTTGGTCTTCAAAACTGTACTATGAAAATTATACTCTTGGACGACATTAATCGCATTTTTCTCTATTAATCGCATCTTTAGTCCTTTCTTATTTCTTCAAGTCAGATAATAGTCAGACTCAAGGATCAAGATCATTGTCTTCAACCTGGGTCTAGTTATCATCTGAGGAAATAATAAATTAAAGATGTGACGAATGTCCAAGAATATGCTTTTCATAGGGCTTGGGATTTTAAAGCTATGCTAAGTGATTGCATTAATCAGTAATTTCAATATACGCTGAGTGGCCAAAAAATTAGACACACCTCTTATTTGAAAGTAAATCAGTTCGACAGTGATGTAAAGTGACATAACAATGCAGAGTTGCTTATATACGGTAAGCTCAGCTTTGGATAATGTAGTTATCATGGAAGTTAATGTCAAAATGGGTAAGACAAAAGATTTAAGTGACTTTGAACAAGGGATGATCATTGGTGCAAGAAAAGCTGGTGTCAGCATCTCTGAAATGATGACTCTTTTAGGATTTTCTTGCCCAACAGTATCTCAGGTGTTTAGAGAGTAGCAGTTGAGAAAAAAACTTCAAGCGATAAGGACAATTCTGGACGAAAAAGGCTGGTGAACAAGAGAGGTGAAAGGCGATTAGCATGCATAGTCTGCAGCAATAGAAGGGCAACAATACGACAAACTATAGCTGAATTCAATGCAGGTGCATCACAAAGCATATCCCAACACACAACAAAACATACTTTGCAAAGGATGGGCTTTAGCAGCAGGAGACCATCAAGAGTGCCTTTGGTATCACAGAAAAATAGGAAAAGACACCTGTTGTGGGCCCAGGAATGATGACTTTGGTCTCTTGAGGACTGGAAAAAATTAGCCTGGTCCAATGAATCTTGTTTCCTGCTCCATCATGCAGATGCCAGGATCAGAATATGATGCAAACAGCACAAATTCATGGACCCCTGCTGCCAAATGACAACTCTTCAGACTGGTGGGAGTGGAATTATGGTGTGGGGATTGTTTTCCTAGAGTACACTAGGTCCCTTGATATTTGTGGACACATCTCTGAATAGAACAGCTTACCTCAACATCATTGCCAATCACGTACCCTCATTTATGGCTGTAATGTTCCCTGATGGAGATGGTCACTTCAGCAGGACAATGCACCTTGTCACTGTGCTCAATTGGTCTCAAATTGGTTTGAGGAACATCAATCATAGTTTAACTTGCTTTCATGGCCAGCTCAGTCCCTGACCTCAATCCTATGGAGCATTTGTGGGATGAAGTCAAAAGATCATGTCAAAGCTTGGAAATGTCACCATCCAATCTGACCCAACTTACAGCTGCAATTATGTTAGCATGGGCCAACATTCCTCAGCAACGGTATCAGCAACTTGTTGAGTCCATACCAAGAAGAATATTGGCTTTGATCAGAGCTAAAGGTGGACCAACTCGTTATTAGAGGATGTCTTTAATTTTTTGGCCACTCAGTGTATATTCAATTTAGTTGCTTGGATACTGACAAGATATAAATAATCTTGAAAGACTTTTTTGATTATATTGTTATTAAAATTGGATTCCTTTATTATTAATAGTGTTGTTGGTGTTCTATAAGTGTAATAGAACCAATAATGATTAATAATATAATTAAATTAAACACAATAAAAATAAATAAATAATAACAGCATAACAAACTCGTTTTTCAATATCAAATGCATAAACACAAATGTTTTTAAATAATACAGGTTATACTATAAAATTAATTACTACTTAATTTATTTGTTAATTACATCATTATAATTAATTATTTGAATCATTAAATAATTTAAAATCTTCTGATATATTTTTAATTATAAAAAGTAATACAACTCTAGCCAATTATTAAAATCTGAAATCTGTCCAACTCATTACACTTTGAAACTTGTCCAACATTTTTTCACTCTAATTTTAATAGTTTCTAATTTATTTTGAATTAAAAGAATAATGCAGTGTTATTTTATCATCATTAAGTTATGTTCATGTATTTTCCTGTTGCGCCACCGTTAAGATACTGAAAGAACTAAGGAACTGCAGAACTATAAAATTGAGTATATAATTGATTTTGAAATGACTAATGTAAATTTGTTCATAATGCCAACTTTGTTAGTAATTGTGTTTTTATATTTTAAATTATAAAGAGAGTATTTTCAATTGTTTTTACACAAGTCTAAATTTTGCATCGTGAAGAAATAGCTTTTAAAACTGATCAAAATTTAAAGTAAAATTAAGAAAACCCAAATCCTTTTTTTCTTTTTGTTTCTAGAAAATAATTGGCAAAATTGGCTTCTGTAATTTTAGTAATATTCCACTGTTCTTATCTATCAGGAAAAATTTATACGTGTATTATTGTTTAATCATATAGTCCAAAATATTCACAGGATATCATAGAATTAAGTATAATGCAAAATTTTCAGATATTTTGCATAGTTTTTATTACAAACTTAAATTTTCTAATTTATTTTCATCAATTAGTACAGTAGATCCCCCTATAAAAGCGTTTCCTATAGTTATGATTCCTATAAAAATTGTGGCATTATCCGTAAACAACGGTAAAAATAACTCCTATAATACGTAAAACGTCATCGGGCAGCCGAACTACTTACCCGCCGTCCGTAGCGCCACGCTACGGAGAGATTTCTATCGTCTGGACAGTATTATATAAATTATATATAAATTAGGTACTGTACATATAATTATATATTAATTATATATAAATTAGGTACTGTATATATAATTATATATTAACTTAATTTATTGTAACTTTATTATAATTAAATATATATTTTTCGCCGTCTAGCGTCACGCTACGGCGAGTTAGGCGACCTATCGTCTGTTTAGTACTGTAATTTTATACATTTCTTGTGAAAGAAACATTTCTTATTTAACGGCCATAAAAATTATTTATATTAATGATGTCTCCAAAGGTCAACGAAGTTTTCGCAGAAAAATAATATCAGAAATCGCGGCCGCAATTTGATGCGCTGTTCCGCGACGAAACCAAGCTTTAGCAACGGGCGTAGTCGAACGGTACACACTCGGTAAGCAATCCTACAATTTTTTGTTTATAACGTAGTTTATACGGATTATTTTCAAAAAAATATACGTATTTTGGAAATGTTGAGTCGAATTAGTCTAGAATCGATTAATTTTATGAAAGAAAACCTTTCAAACAGCCGTAGTCCGTAAACTATGATTCCTACAAAATTGATTCATAAAGAACGGAACGTATCTACCGTCTTATAGGGGGATCTACTGTACTATAATATTAATATTATGGATTAATGACATGAGAGAATGCTATCTTTGGAATATCCAGCTATATTTGAATATTTTATTAGAAGTAAATATCACTAAGAAATATTTAATTATAAGAATTGTGGCTCTAGTAATTATTTTTCAAGTGGTAAAATAGGTGACATTTTAATTAATTAATAAATTGCCACAAAACACTTGTGTCCTTTAAGACAAATGTAGAGCCATCACAAATCTGCAAGTAATCATTCTGTATGGACTTGTCTTATGATGGTAAAGTTATTAATCTAGCTGGAGGTACATGCATGGCTTGTTACCCATTCTCTTCTTAAATTTTCTTCACATGGAAATGAATATAATCAGAACATTTGAATAATCAGAACATTTGCATCATGTTTTTGTGTACATCGCATACAGCATCAAATCACTTATAAAGAATACTATGGCTATTACAGCAGCCAACCACTACACAATATCTACCTGAACTGGTTTTACAAGGCATGTCACCAATGAAAAACTAAAAATTGCAGACTTACACTAATAACTAGCAGTATCTTAATGGTTGGCAAGACATACATCCTCGTGTGGCAGAAGTCAAAAACACATTCTGGAAACTTGTGAATAAACAAATCTAATTTAGAATAAATTTAAACTAGAAAAGAACATACCTTTTTCTGGGTAATGATGGACTATTCTGCAACAATGGACTTTGAGGGCTGGTTGCGATTATGGCAAGTTCCGTCAAACGATCGTAAACGGGATCCGGAACAAGGTTTGCATCAATTGGTCCATCCAGCTTCAATGGAGGTGGAACAGTTTTGGTTTTTCTCTGAATGAAACCAACCTCAGATTCATTATTAAATGTTTCTAAAGTATCGCTATTTTTAAATTTGTCATTCTGAACTTCATTTGATGGTACTGTTACAATAACTGATTCTATAGTTTCGAGAGGTTCTTCATTAATTTCAGACTTTTCAAACATTGGTGTAAGTTCATGGCATACAGAAAATGTTGTCATTGGTTGCTGCCAGACAGTACTTGCAATACTAGCAATCTTCATTTAGTATACAAAATATTGACTTTCCATATTAATATGTCTAGAAAAAATATAAATAAACTGTAAATAAAATACATATTTTATGCACGCACACAATAATTTACATATCACACAAAAAAACTAATTGGTATAGCTTAAACGAATAAGAAAACCAAAAGTTAATTTTCATAATAATTTAAATATTTGTATGCAGAATTTTTAAGCTAGCATTAGATTAATATACAATAAAACTATATAATCTGGCCTTAGATAGTTAGGCACCTCTCTGGACTAATATTTATTATTAAGTTTTGAATTAAATAATTTGAAAGAATTTGGAAAAGAAGATTAGTTTTCTAATAACTAATATTTAGATATTAGAAAATTGGAATTGGTTATTATTTGTATGTATATATTAAGAATAATTCAAATATAATTGCTAATTCTGCAGTAAATAATAAAAATATGACTTTAAAACCAGCAGAAAAGTTTAGTATAGTTGACTCGCCTTAAAACAAACACCAAAAGTGAATTTTTATATTAATTAAAGCCATTGTCAAATGTTTATTTTCGCATAAAAAAGTGAACAAAAATTTTACTAGAATTTGTTAAACAGAACTGTAAATTACCGTCACAACCCCTAGAAATAATCCTATTACCAATAATGGTTGCTTTTTATACTTTTCAAAGTGAACAATAAAAAGTGGTACTGTAATAAATGTTCCATTTTGATAGGAAAAGATTTTCTTCTGCTATTAGGCAAAGATGAATTTGTCCAATTGTTGAACAATTCAAACATCTGGTTTAGTGGAACAATGTATGTACTCAGAAACCAGGGTTAGAGTTTAAGGACATCCATTCCTTTAAATGGATGCATTCCATGCAAATATGTGCTAGTCTGCATATCATGGAATGCAGTGATGCCAAGTTTGGCTACTTTGTACCACATCTGGCTCCTTTTTCACTCTTTTGGCACCAAAACATATTTTACACTTTTCCAGACAATCAACAAAAACCATGAATTTCTCTTAGCATTGTTTTGTTTAACCACTCTGATATACTGCTCTACACTTAAATGATGAATACCATCTCAATAAGTTTCATAAAACCTTTCGCTCTTTTTCTAGCAGTTTCTTAATCCATAAGAGAACAAATGTTTTCGGCCATTTTAAATGGTCTTCTTCAGGTTCTATAACATTGGAACATCAGTTAACAAATATTCGAACGACGTCATTGTTTACAAAAGTTTCTTCTTTCTTATACAAAATAATTAAAGAAATTGATGACAGAGATAAGGAATTTTGGACAAACGTAAGTGAAAGTAAGAAATGGCTCCAGACTAATGAAGTCAACCTCACCAAGGCAGATAAAAGCAGAAATGTGGTTCTTATGAAGAAAGCTACATACATTACACCGCTCGAAGAATACATCAGTTCTACAGAATGCCAAAAAATAGAAAAAATATTTAGACAAACTCCACAATAGGGTTATAAGATTTACCAATACACCACTAACTAAACACCTATGACTAGGAAATGCCACAATGAAATCACCTGAGATACCAAGGCTATTTGGTTATGCTAAAACCCATAAACCAGGCAAACAAATACGGCCAATTGTGGACAAATCGAGATCCCCAACGCTATCCATTGAGAAGGGTTTACATGAGCTCCTCAGAGACATTTGAAAGAATATAACTACACCATTTCAAACACTCATGAACTCATTGATAAATTAAAAAATATTGCTCTAACAGATCAAGCAATCAATTAGATGAACAATATTTATTCAAACATAGTCTACTTAATTATAAAAAACAGTATTGATTAGAGGTGGCACAACACTTGTACAAAACTATAAAATAAGTACTGATTAGCTTATTTTTATCAGTTTGTATTTTTTTATTAAGCCATGCACTTTTAAAGGTAATTAACTTTTGAAAATATTTTCAAAAATTCAAACGAAATAATAAAAATAATTTTTTAGTCAAACTAAAATTAAAAATGAACTTATTTATGCTTCTTAGTGTAATATATAAAATATTTAATCTATTTATTTATTTTTAAAGGGTACTGTGACAACATTTTGAATTACACAAAATCATTTTTTTTTTTTACACTGGCACTTATTTATAGCACAGTTTTTGGTACAGGTGCACCTCATAAAACCTTGTCCTGTCCCAACTGAATGTTTGGTAGCTTCAATCCTTAGTGAGATTTGAACATCTTGATTAACGTCACTTTCTTGTAGAAATTTTTGAGTACATGGTCGAATTCAGTTCTGTAATAAACAAATATTTTATTTTGACTAAATTACATAGCATACTTAGACCAAACAAAACGGCATTTAACTTTGAAAATCTTTATCAGGCCTTCATTATAAGTAAATATTATACAAAAACCCTATCTGAAAATACTCATAAAACTTGAAAACCTCTTCCAAATATAAAAACAATAATCATCGAAATCAGTTCAGATTTGACAGTGAAATAGAGTAACATGGTCATTAAAAAAGAATTTCTTTTTTTTGAAGTAATTTGAGAAAAAATAAATAATAAAATGCATAGCTAGCCTGCAATAGAGTATCTGCAATATTCAATGCTTAGTTCTAATTTTGTACAGGCCATCATTGTTTATTTCAAGACCAACGCCAATAACATTTCTTAGGTTGCCCCTTCCTCTGTCAAAAAAAAAATCTGAAATCTGCTTTCTGACAAATCGCATCCCACTATAGCTGGCGGATGCGATTTGTCAGAAAGCAGATTTCAGATTTTTTTTGCCTGTTTCTGAAGGTTTTCAGCAGCTGTTTGTCTTGCTTTTTGGATATCATCACCAATTTTAGAAGTTTCAGTATCATTACCATCACTATCATCTCCTGAATCATTGTGATCATTTGTCTATGAGTTAAATCAGTTTCAATAAGTTTTTGAAGGTCATCTTCATCTTGAATATCCTTCATTATTTCTGGTAGTAGTAATGTCGTTGAAAGACCAATTCTGGGTTCAACTCCAAACATAGCTTCGTAAGGTGATTGTTTTATGCCCAAATGATAGGCCCCGGTTTTCATAAATTGTACATATCTCAAGCCTTCTGATCATTTAGTCGATTGATTACCTTTTAGCCAACAACTGATCATGTTCTTGATGTCTTGGTTGGCTCTCTTGGTTGATGTCTTGGTTGGCTGACTTTGGCTGTGCCGTGGTTTTCCATGCACTAGCTTAAGTTCTGGCCAAAGACTCGTCATTTCACATATAATACGATTGATGAATTCTCTTCCATTGTCTGACTGCAAAATACATGGGGCACCTATCGTCAAAAATATGTCATTCAAATGGTAGGCTACTTCTTTAGCTCATTTAGATTCCAAAGCACGAAGCAAAATAAACTTGGTCAAGTGGTCTTGGTAGACCATGATAAATTTAAACTTTCCATCAGGTTGAGTCTGAAAATCAATGAGATCCACTTGGCACCTACTGTTCATTTCAAAATGTAAAATTGGCTTAGAAACTAAACCTCTTTTTTTTTTTTTGTCTTCTTTTCTTGACATGTTACACACAGGTTAATCATCTGTTTTGTGACATTAGCATATTTTAAAGATGTCTCAGCCAATAATCTGTCACGTCCATCGTGACCGACAGCTCTGTGAGTTGCATCATCATCATCATCATCATACACTTCCTCAGCGGGAATAAAGTATTTTATGTTCTCTTCACTATGGGCAACAAATTTTTTTTTAACAGAACCAATGTTTAAAATTGCAAATCTGTTTAATCGCCTTTGATGAAGTGGTGTCTTAATTTGAGCTTTTTCATCCTCTTCCACTTATAGGATAAGATCTAAGTATTTATCCTTTGTTAAAACATTAAAATGAGAAGACTTTATATTTTCACTTTGCAAAATTTCTTTTAAAAACCGCTCTCTCCATTTTAACTGATCAACTTGAACACTAGACGATGGCTCATCCATAATAACAATATGAAAACAACACAAAACTTTTAAACTAGGTACGTTCAAAAAATCAAATTAATACAGTTTCACAAATTGCACGTAGGTACACAAGTCACAACACGATTGCATGTAATGAGTGAATTCGCATTTTTCACCGGATGCTCGTCCTCTGGTGTTTAAAAATAAAACTATTTTATCTGGGTCATTTGAATCATTTTTGTGTATTAGCAGTAAAGATGAATAGCAATAGAGAAGCTTTCTGTTGCATTCCAAATTGAAATTTCAAAGCCATATGGGAGCCCAATATAAGTTTTTGTCTATTCCCACATGAAAAAACATACAATTATTCAAAAATCAGTTGGTTATATTTATTAGCTTCTCTGAATTCTGAAAGAGTGGATTAGACTTAAGAATTGGCAAAAGTTTCCCCACTGTCCAGCTTTACATGAAGTTATAATGTCAATTTTAAAGGATTTTTCCTTAAGTTTAAAATGCCAGTAATTTTATAGGGGATGTCAGAGCTGATATTTTTTAACACAAAGGGCACAAATTTGTATAGAACGATCTCACTCATTTGTTTTGATACCACATAATGACGTGTCCTGCTAGCAATAATTGTTCTCCTATAAAATTTCTCGATTATCAGCTATAAGCAGTGTATATCATATAGTTCATATTTAAAATTTTTTTTTAATTTTCATTTATATGTTTTTCAAGTAATCTTAAGAATGTTTCATTTCCGCATTCCATTTGAGAATGCTTTAACCTGCAGAAGATCTGTGTAGATCAAAAATGTTTGTGTTTGCATTAAGATAACCTGGAATTGTACTTTTAAGGTTCAGAGGTGTGCTGTTTTTATGATATATATCATTATATCGGACAGTAATATATGATTAATTTTATATTACTAGTTACAAACGACCCAGATAAAGTAGCCATTTTGTAAAAATTGCAGTGCCCTCTATAGTTCGTGAAAAACGCAAACAACAACAAAAGCACGATAAAAAGAGGCGCAGGAGATGAATCCCTGCATTAATAGGCTGCAATGTGTTTATTTTATCACTTGCAACAAATAAATCAGTTCGGCCTAGGCTAAACTAGATTGTCCTGGGCTAAACTAGTATATTCTGACATTCATACAATAAACCCGTTTGGCCTGAAATTGGGTTTGGCCGGTAACATATATATTCAAACATCAAAAATTATTAGTGTTTTGTTGTATATTTACAAGATAGTTTTCTCTACATCCTTTGTCAGATAAGTATGTAGAAAACTCTTTATCTTGTAAATTTGTAAATGCACTAGTGATAAAGAGTAGATATTTGAGAAAGGAAAAGGCTTATCAATTTGCATTTATTACAGATGTTACAACCTTTATTATTGATAACAAATTTAGAGTCACTCAATTGTTACCATGTTTAAATTAAATAATTAATTACTACAATAATTTATAACATTACAGTACCATGCAATCTTTCACAACTCCAGTCTAAAGGCAATCAATCAATCTTTATTGAACGTATAATAATAATAACAATAAAAAAAAATACATACTCGGTTCCACGAGGCATAGCCAAGATAGTAGGTACAAGAAATAAGAGGTATAGTTTTACAGTGGTGATATTGAATGAAGTGATTATAGGTGGTAATAATAACAATAAGAATAACAGTAGTGAGGTTAACAATATTAGGAATACAATGAATATACAAAATAATAAAATAAGTACAATAAGTATATACAATGTCAATTGTACAGAGGATGACAGCAAATACTGCTAGAAATTAGCAAAACCAAAAGTAAAGTGAGGTGATATACAAGATAAAAAATGTACAAAAGTATTTACAATCCAGTCTAAAGGCAGTGATAAAAATCATGCTGACAAATTCTGTAAAACCTTCAGGTTCCTTTCAGGAAAGAAATGCAGTCTTTGAAGTCTAGGCTGTTTGCTAAGTAACAAATGGATAGTTGACAATTTCTGTCTACACTCAGTCCCATGAGAAGTTATTTAGGTATTTTTTGTTGTTTCAATACTTTGTTATATGACATTTTGTCTCATACACCAAGCATTTCATCAAGGCTGCACAAGCTTTCAAATCCTTTATTAACATCAGGTGTACCTCTATTAAGCTCATACACACATACACCTGTCTGGTATATCTGAACTTATAGATGACAAGAACTGTCAGTTTTTTCATCCATACATTTAAGTATACTTGCCAGATATAGGCTACTAGTACTTGTGTACTTGGCTTTATATTTAAATTCCTAAATAGCAAATCAATGATACTGCTTTACTCACAAGTCTATGAAACCACTTTGTGGCTTCTCACTGTCAGCCTTTCTCTTGAAATCTTTGTCTTTTACATACTTCTCACAAAAGCACTCTCCATACTTTGTCTGCACTATTGCAACATACATCATGCATAGCACATTTCACTTGTAGCATTGTCACCTTAATTCTTAGTTCCATAAAAAATGAGTGAATTACATCTGGTTCAAAATATACAGTCTTGCAGCATTCTCTGCCTTAGCTTTTTTATTAAGGATTTGTTACAAGGTCCTTGACATTGATTTTCTCATATGATTTTAATGTTATATGCCCCCCATTAGAAGGAAAATCTTCCTCATAATATCAGAATTTCTGAGAATTTGAACAAGACAATAAAGTAAACAGGAACCTTTCCAAAAGGTGCAAAGGACAGCACTACAATATTCTTGATGTCTAGGTATACAAATATCTTTCAAAATGTTCTCTGACAAGTTGTCTCATATAATAGTTATAAATTATAACAAATTTTTCTTTTTTACTTTTACTTATCTATTTCTGTTATTGTTTGAAGACTGGTAGAATTAGTTGGCTCGATTCTTCTTTAATATTAGTTTGAACAACAGTAATGAGATCAAGATGCTACTTCTTATCAGACTTGTCATTGAAGTAAACAAGCCAAACCTACTTATTACAACATTCTATAATCCAAACAATTCATACGTATATAGCATACAATTATTTAAAATAGACTGTCAGTAACTGAAATAACATAGTTAAATATGAAATACATAAAATACTTCTCAATGACTGGAAGTAAATACTAAGCACAATCAACTAAACCTTTAACTTCCAGTAATGAAAAATTTAATGTCAAATTGACAAGTTTTGAAAAGTCGTGTTCTGCAAATTCCATTTTGGAATATTGTTGGAAATCTGATGCAGATCTTGGTTAAGATCGAAAACATTTGTCAAGTTGACACTAAATTTTTCATTACTGGAAGTTAAAGGCTTAGTTGATTGTGTTTATTATGAAATACATAATTATCAACACACAACATCTGGTTCAAGATATCACTCAAATAACAGTACACAGGTATTAGGTCATACACACATTTCTCTCATTAATTTATTAATTGCAACATTGTGCAATGGCAACTCGGAGAACTATACCAAGCAATTAAATAACCAAGGGCCAGATTTATATGCATTTAAAATCATAGTATGTGCACATATACATGCATGTAAAAATGCCAGATATATGCACTGCTATATTCATGTTAAACTGCTTGAAATATGCATTATGCTTGTTAAAACCACT